CCGTTGCTGCCACTCCGGGTCTGGAAAGCGGATTGGAAAGCACAGGTTGGGCTCGTCAACGTGCAGCTTTGGGGGGGGTGTGTGGAATTGGTCCCCAGGGCGACGGGCAGCGCCCCAAGCCTCCCCACGTGATCGCTCTCTGCTACCTGTTGGTAGCAGCTGAAATCTACCTGCTGAAATCTCATTCCAGACAGGTGACTGTATCAAAAGAAATGCTAGTGAGAAGAGTCCTTCATCTTTTAGTTAAAATACAAACCTATTTTCCCAGCTTTAGGACTACCTACAGTTCCCGGGTCAACCCAAATAATTATGCAGTGGCAAGCTTCAGTTCCCTTAGGTTCCATGCGCGTTCGGTAACACCAATTTCAGCAGGAGTCTTGCCCTTACCTGGCCGGCCGGAAAAGGATCTGCCTTTGCTGGAGCTGTCAGGAGAGGAGCCAGCCGGGTCTGGCCTCCGCTCCTGGTGCCGGCTATGAGGCAGCGGGCTGCTTGCTCCCCTGTAGATCCCGCCTGCGCCCACAGAGGACAGAATGGCGCAGCCGCAACCGCTCTCGCAGACCAAACTGCCGGGGGTCCCGCCCCGAACAAGCAAAACGGCAGCGAACTAACAGGAACAGTTTTACTCAAAAATTAAGGTTTTTTTTTCCCTTTTCTTCCTTCCAGTACTATAACCTCACTCCATTTGAAACAACAAAAAGCTCTCGTTTTACGAATTGAATTTAAGAAACACAAAATTACGATGTTACTGGTCTGTTTAAAAAGAAGAATGATGCAATTGAGGCTTCCATTTCATTTTTAAACACCATACCCTTAATGGGCTAATGCATTTTAAATTTGAATTACAGGCATACCTTGTTGCTATACAGAAGGAAAAGGTGAATGCAACTTTAAAATGCAAATCATTCGTTTTCTAATAGTCTTGCCTTCACCGGATTACAAGATTGTTAATATCAAATAGTGGTCCAAGATTTGAGATACTTTCATGCTTTCTAAAAAGATGTGTAAATAATAACTTGATTAATAAAAGATGAACTGCTTCTGAAAGCCTTATAGGGTATCATGAGTTAATGTTTCATAAAACGTTGTAAATCATTCAACAAATGCTCCAGATTCTCAGTCACACACTGTTGATGCTCCTGGTCAGGAGTACCCTGCAGAAGCAGCTTGGTGTCACCAGGTGAGGCAGAGCACAGTGCAAGCCTGGACCAGAGTCTGCTGCCTCATAGGACTTCGGGTTCTTCCTCTGTAAAGAGGAAATCACTTCAGGCATCTCACCAGTTGCTTTGCGAATTGAATGAAATAAACTAAATATTACTTCTCTCTATTTCCTATTTTCTTTTTCCACCTTCCCTTTGGGAGAGTCAGGAAATTAAAACACCTGATTCTTTCCTGCTTCCTTCCCTTCCACAAGGGCATCCAAAAGCCCCAATAAAGTGCATTTGTGGTCTTTTATGGTGCATTTTAGAGGAGAGGCCTGAGATACTGAAAAAGAGACCGGAAGTAGCCAGTGAAGATGCCTGTAGGGGTAGAAATGTAAACGTTTTTCTGTACCACTCAATTCTCTTTCACTAGGATCTACCTATATGTGACAGCCCTGCAGTTCATGCTTTGTGTGAAGACAATGACAGGAGAGTCTTAGACTGTCTCCACAACCTAAAAACTACATGGGAGAAAACCATGTAATGTTACATGAAAGAAAACACATATATATCAATGTACCGTATTTTTACTCAAATAATGAACTTTCTACAGTTGTTTGATAGTTGGCCCTCCCCCTGAGAGGTATTTTCATAAGGGTGCCATGCTAATTTTTTTACAACATAATAATAATAATGCTATTATTCAAATTTATGCACCAACTGCTAATGCTGAAGATGATGAATTTGAAAATTTTTACTGACTTCTACAGTCTGAAATTGACCAAACATGCAGTCAAGATGCATTGATAGTCACTGGTGATTGGAATGTGAAAGCTGGAAACAAAGAAGAATAGATAGTTGGAAAATATGGCCTTGGTGATAGAAACGACACTGGTGATCACATGATAGAATTTTGCAAAACGAATGACTTATTCTCTGCAAATACTTTTTTCATCATAAATGGTGACTATATAAGTGAACGTCACCAAATGGAATACACAAGAATCAAATTGACTACATCTGTGGAAAGGGATGATGGAGAAGCTCAAGCTCATCAGTCAGAACAAGGCCGGGTGCTGACTGGAACAGACCATCAATTGCTCATATGCAACTTCAGGTTGAAGCTGATGAAAATTAGAACAAGTCCATGAGAGCCAAAGAATGATCTTGCACATATTCCACCTAAATTTAGTGACCATCTCAAGAATAGATTAGATGCAGTAAATATTAATGACTAAAGACCAGATGAGTTGTGAGATAACATCAAGGACGTCATACATGAAGAAAGCAAAAGGTCATTAAAAAGACAGGAAAGAAAGAAAAGACCAAAATCGATGTCAGAAGAGACTGAAACTTGATCTTGAATGTAGAGTAGCTAAGGCCAATGGAAGAAATGATGACATAAGAGCTGAACAGAAGATTTTAAAGGGCGAATCAAGAAGACAAACTAAAGTATTATAATCAAATGTGCAAAGACCTGGAGTTAGAAAACCAAAAAGGAAAAACATGCTTGGCATTTCTCAAGCTGAAAGAACTGAAGAAAAAATTCAAGCCTTGAGTGGCAATATTGAAGGATTCTATGGGCAAAATATTGAATGATGCAGGAAGCATCAAAAGAAGATGGAAGGAATACACAGAGTCACAGTACCAAAACAAATTGGTCAACATTAAACCATTTCAGGAGGTAGCACATGATGAAGAGCTGATGGTACTGAAGGATGAAGTCCAAGCTGTACTGAAGGCATTGGTGAAAATCAAGGCTCCAGGAACTGATGGAATACCAATTGAAATATTTCAACAAATGGATGCAATGCTGGAAGCGCCCATTCATCTGTGCCAAGAAATTTGGAAGACAGCTACATGGCCAACTGAGTGGAAGAGATTCTGACTCATAGCAACACTGCCAGGTCCTGCACCGTTCTCACAATTGTTGCTATGTTTGCACCCCTTGTTGCAGCCTCAGTGTCAATCCACCTTGTTGAGGGTCTTCCTCTTTTTCACTGACCAGCTACTTTACCACATGATGTCCTTCTCCAGGTACTGGTCCCTCCTGATGACATGTCCAAAGTACGTGTAAAAAATGGTGTGGTGGAGGCATCTGACCTCCTCTAACTTCCCAAGAGGGAAGGAGAAGAAGACCAGCAGCCTAAGGCTAATTTTTATGAGGTGGAGGTCAGACATGCCTCCTCTCGCTAGCCCTTTTTACCAGTTCTGACACCATCTGTCTATCCCACAGCATTCTCTGCTTGGCTTAGTTCGATAATTAGTTGCAGTGGCCACACAGAACTCATAGACCATACTCACAATTATGGGGTTTATTAGGGAAGTAACAGGTTACAATTCAGGTTCAGGAACACTGAGGATACAGTTCTTCGAGAAGGACAGCCTCTACCCAGCTATGCCCACAGGCATACCTCTTTCTGACCCCTCGGCCTCTGCCCTGCCCTGGCAAGTGTTAGAAAAATAAGTGCCCCCAGGCACCGCATTCTGCCAGTAATCCTCAGCCTGAAGGTTCTCAGCTCTAGCTCTGTGGGTTAAGCAAACCTAGTTCCAACAAGTGCCCAGAGGCACCCTACTTTGCTAGCAAGCCTTCTGCCTGAAGGCACTCAGCTTTCTCACTCTGTGGGCTGGAAAATCTCCTGCCGGTCTCCTAGTTCTGCTGCCACCGTTTCTCTGCCACTGCCTCTTGCCATCTTTGGTGTTATAGCTCTCTCTCTCGGTCTCCTGGTTCTCAGTGCAGGAATCCCAGGTCCGAACGACATGCTCGACTCCTGGCTCTTCTTTCTTGGTGATGGTGAGATCCTCTCCTTCTGCCTCTGGAATGGCTCATTTTAAGCCTAGTGGGATAGCAAAACTGACTAATCCCTTCATTAGGATTGGGTTCCTTATTTGCATGGTCCCACCTCCACACAGGTGCCATGAACTTTATTTGTGTTATTAGCAAGCTATCCAATCCCATTGGTTGGCCACAATTACCTTATTTGTATAGTCCCACCCAATCACTCGGGTAAAAGTTACAAGACCATAACGAGAAAGGCCGTATATAAGTGATTCATCACACTGCAGTACATGAGACGAAGTCTAGCTATCCTTGCCTCCAAGGAGCATTCTGGCTGTACTTCTTCCAAGACAGATTTGTTCATTCTTCTGGCAGTCCATGGTAGATTCAATATTCTTCACCAACATCATAATTCAAAGGCATCGTTTCTTCTTTGGTCTTCCTTATTCATTGTCCAAGTTTTGCATGCATATGAGATGACTGAAAATATCATGGCTTGGGTTAGGGGTATATTAGTCCTCAAAGTAACATCTTTGCTTTTTAACACTTTAAAGAGGTCTTTTGCAGCAGATTTGCCCAATGCAATATGTCGTTTGATTTCTTGGCTAGTGCTTCCATGGGTACTGATTGTGAATCCAAGTAAAATGAAACCTTTGACAACTTCAATCTTTTCTCTGTTTATTATGATGTTGCTTATTGGTCTAGTTCTGAGGATTTTTGTTTTCTTTATGTTGAAGTACAACAGTGGCTCAACTATAGCAATGATTGTGAGGATGGCACAAGGCTAGGCAGTGTTTTGTTCTGTTGTTCATAGGGTCGTTATGAGGCGGAACCAACTCGACAGCTAACAACAACAACAATGTTGAAGTGTAATACATACATAGTCTTTGATCT